TTTAATTTTTTGAAATTTCGGATTTATTTAACTTTTATTTTCAAATTTTTCAAATTCAATTTTCGTTTTTTCTATTTAAATTGTTTTTTTTTTTTTGAATTTCATAATTTTTTTTTTCAATTTCAATTTTATCACCGACGACACAAATTAACATTGTGATTTTCTCATTATCAACACGCTCGACCACACTCCATTGTATTGTTGATGTTGTGGGGTGTAAGCTTTTTTTCTATTTTATTTCAAATGGCACTGTCAAACGTTTTATTGTCAACGCCGAGCACACACAGACATATGTATAGGCATACATATAGTCTGGTATATGTAACATACACATGTATATACACACACATACAAGTACATATGTGCCTGCAGACTGTCTCATTTCGGTGCATCAATACATTTTATTTTTACTTTCTTTAACTCTTTGGTTCACGGTTCGCCTTTTTTACTTATGACTTTTTAGCTATTTTCGTCACACTGTCGTGCTATGGCGAGTGTGAAATACCAGTTTGACAAGATCGAGGCGAGGCGAGGCGTACCTAATCGACGGCGACGGTCCCTGTGACAGTCGCGGAGGTGGCCACCATTGTGTTTGTGTTGTTGTTATGCAAGCTGTTTGTATTTGTTTTCATTTTTATATGCATACATATAGTACATATTGTGGGGTGCGCGGATTGTTGTTGTTGCAATCTCCCCACACATGTGGCGGGGTTTAGCAGCTGACAGCCAAAGCGCATAGTGTCATCGCTGGCCGAGCGCGCAGTGCAGGTGAATGCTGAGGCATGCATGGCAATTATTGCACAAACACACATATAAACACATACATCCAAATATTAAACTTTATCTATTTATTGTGTGTTTGTGTGGGCAACCACTGCTGACTGCCAATTTATTTTTCCTCGTTTTTCGCATTTTCGCTTAGCTCATCTACATTTAATTCTTTAATTGTAGTATTTGTTATTACAACAACACTTATATTATTATTATTATTATTTTTTTTTTTTTGTTACTTGGTTGACGTTTGTCATGTCTAACGCTACGAAATTCCGTCCTTCAAATGTGCGAAATCAGGCTGTCGCGTTGTTCGTTGTTTGCAGAAATCGAACTGCTGTTATGCCCCTCATGTACATGATGTTGAGGAGGGATATTGCAGATTTGTTTAACAAATGAGGGGCTTTGAGGTTAGGGGGAATGTGAATATAAATAAATATATTTTAAAATTATCGTACAAGAGTATATTATATATTTGTATATCTGATTTTCAGTCCCTTGTATATCTAACCAATTTATAACCATTTTATATACATATAAAGCGATGTTGTCCCAAGTGATATCAAAATGATAGTTGGTCAATAGAGGCCTCAAGTGGACAGGTGTTTTGGTTATAAAAGGGGTATATATTGGTTAAAAAGTGGTTATAAATTGGTTATGTCTGACAATCTAAGCTGAAAATGTATGCTATATATATGTAATATGAAGTAGTGAATCTTAAGCAATAAAAAAACTCATTTCGATTTTTCGATGATACGTTGTTTTGCATTTTAGG